CTGATTAGAGCATATATTAGATTGCCTGATTTTCTCTCACAGGTTAATCAAATCAATCTCTGTTCTCTCTTTTTTTTTTCCCTCCAGTCTTTTTCTTCCTGTGCTTCATCTTGGGTCCTTTCTAGTATTATGTCTCTAAGTTTGCTAGTTTTTCTTCTGTAGTATCTAATCTATTCTCAATGCCAACAGCGATACTTAATTTTTCATCTCTAAAAGTTCCATTTGGCTCTTTAAAAAACAAATATATTTCCTTATCTCTCCTCACTATACTCATGTTTTTCTTAAAATACTTGACATAGTTATAACAGCTATTTTACCTTCTTTATGCACTCATACCATCATCTTTTTTATTCCTCAGTCTGCTTTTATTGATGGATTTTCCCCTTGGTTTTTGGTCACATTTTCCTGCTTCATGACAGTCCTACTAATTTTTGGTTGAATGCTGAACATTAAAAACTAAGGAAACAATCCCATTTACCATTGCAACAAAAAGAATAAAATACCGAGGTTTAAACCTGCCTAAGGAGGCAAAAGACCTGTATGCAGAAAACTATAAGAAAGTGATGAAAGAAATCAAAGGTGACACAAACTGATGGAGAGATATACCATGTTCTTGGATTGGAAGAATCAATATTGTGAAAATGACAAAACTACCCAAAGCAATCTACAGATTCAATGCAATCTATCAAATTACCAAAGGCATTTTTCACAGAACTGGAACAAAAAATTTTACAATTTGTATGGAAACACAAAATACCTTGAATAGTAAAAGCAATCTTGAAAAGAAAAATGGAGCTGGAGGAATCAGGCTCCCCAACTTCAAACTACACTACAAAGCTACAGTAATCAAGACAGTGTGGTACTGACACAAAAAGAGAAATACAGATCAATGGAACAGGATAGAAAGCCCAGAGATAAGGTGACCATATGTGCATGGGTTTATCTTTGACAAAGGAGGCAAGAATATACAATGGAGGACAGACAGTCTCTTCAATAAGTGGTGCTGGGAAAACTGGACAGCTACATGTAAAAGAATGAAATTAGAACACTCCCTAACATCATATACAAAAATAAACTCAAAATGGATTAAAAACTTAAATGTAAGGCCAGTCACTATAAAACTCTTAGAGGAAAACATAGGCAGAACACTCTTTGACATAAGTCACAGCAAGGCCTTTTTTGACCCACCGCCTAGAGTAAAGAGAATAAAAACAAAAATAAACAATGGGAGCTAATTAAATTTAAAAGCTTTTGCACAGCAAAGTAAACCATAAACAAGAAGAAAAGACAACCCTCAGAATAGGAGAAAATACTTGCAAATGAAGCAACTGACAAAGGATTAATCTCCAAAATATACAAACAGCTCACACAGCTCAATATCAAAAAAACAAACCATGCAATCAAAACATGGGCAGAAGACATAAATAGACAGTTCTCCAAAGAAGACATACAGATGGCCAACAAACAGATGAAAAGACTCAACATCACTAATTATTAGAGAAATGCAAATCAAAACTACAATGAGGTATCACCTCACACCAGTCAGAATGACCATCATCAAAAAAAATCCACAAATAGGACTTCCATGGTGGCGCAGTGGTTAAGAACCTGCCTGCCAATGCAGGGGACACAGGTTCAAGCCCTGGTCCAGGAAGATCCCACATGCTGTGGAGCAACTAAGCCCGGGCACCACAACTACTGAGCCTGCGCTCTAGAGCCCGTGAGCCACAACCACTGAGCCCGTATGCCACAATTACTGAAGCCCATGTGCCTAGAGCCTGTGCTCTGCAACAAGAGAAGCCACCGCAATGAGAAGCCCATGCACTGAAACGAAGAGTAGCCCCTGCTCACCACAACTAGAGAAAGCCCATGTGCAGCAGCGAAGACCCAGTGCGGCCAAAAATAAATAAATAAAAAACAAATAAATTCATTTAAAAAAATCCACAAACAAATGCTGGAGAGGGTGTGGAGAAAAGGGAACCCTCACGCATTGTTGGTGGGAATGTAAATTGATACAGCTGCTATGGAGAACAGTATGGAGGTTCCTTAAAAAACTAAAGATAGAACTACCATATGACCCAGCAATCCCACTACTGGGCACACACACTGAGAAAACCATGATTCAAGAAGAGTCATGCACCGCAGTGTTCACTGCAGCTCTGTTTACAACAGCCAGGACGTGGAAGCAACCTAAGTGTCTAACGACAGAGGAACGGATAAAGAAGATGTGGCACATATATACAGTGGAATATTACTCAGCCATAAAAAGGAATGAAATTGGGTCATTTGTAGAGATGTGGATGGACCTAGAGACCGTCATACAGAATGAAGTAAGTCAGAAAGAGAAAAAGAAATACCGTATGTTAATGCAGGGGTCCCTAACCCCTGGGCTGTGGACTGCTACCAGTCTGTGGCCTGTCAGGAACCGGGCTGCGCAGCAGGAGGTGAGCGGTGGGCGAGCGAGCCAAGCTTCATCTGTAATTACAGCCTCTCCCCATCGCCCGCATTACGGCCTCAACCATCCCCCCCTCCCCCTGTGGAAAAACTGTCTTCCACAAAACCGGTCCCTGGTGCCAAAAAGGTCAGGGACTGCTGTATTAACACATATATGTGGAATCTGAAAAAACTGGTACAGACGATCTTATTTACAAAGCAGAAACAGAGACACAGACGTAGAGAACAAACGTATGGATATCAATGGGGAAGGGTGGGGGTTAGGATGAACTGGAAGACTGGGATTGACAGATATACACTATTGATACTCTGTATAAAAGACATAACTAATGAGAACCTGCTGTATAGCACAGGGTACTCTACTCAATGCTCTGTGGTGACCTAAATGAGAAGGAAATCCAAAAAAAAAGGGGACATATGTATACGTATGGCTGACTCACTTTGCTGCACAGCAGAAACTAACACAACATTGTAAAGCAACTCATACGCCAATAAAAATCAAAAGAAAAAGAAACGTTATGCTTTTCAGTCTAGATTTTACTGTATTCCTTTGAAGAACACTGGGCTTTGCAATGGTCGAAGGCTAAGTTATTTGTATCCAGTTTGATCCCTTTGAAGTTTGTGTTTAAGCTTTGTTAGCCTGGGTCTAGAGCAGCCTTTACTCTGGGAATCAGTCCCATCAACTGAGGCATAGCTCTTCTGGAATCTTACTTCATCCCCTGAGTGAGGATGGTCACTGAGTGAGAACGAGGTCTCTCCATTATAGCTGAAGCTCATGTGCCTCCCAAGCCTGGGAATGCTCTAAGAAACCTTCAATTCCACCTCCCAGGCAGTTCCTCATCCAAGCTTGTGGAATGTCCTCTTAATATTCAGTAAGGACTCAGTGGGATCCTTATGCACGTTTTGGGAACTCTTTTTCTTTGCAGATCACCACGCCACAGGCTCCTCCTCACACGGCTCCACAACATCCAGGTGCCTCAGACTCTCGGAATTCTGACCTCCACCTCCTCGGCTCTCAGCAAACGGTTGTTCTCTGTCGAAGTTCCTCTTCCACGCTCCCTGGTGGAGACCATGTCTCCAGGAAACCCGGGGTCCTGCACTGCCCGTCGCCCAAACGGTGTTTTATATATTTCATATAGTTTCCTAGTTTTTCAAGATAGAAGGTTTAATCTGATTTCTGTTATTCCATCATAGCTAGAAATGGAAGTCCTTTCTTATATTTTAAAAGTGAATCTCGGAAAAATGTTTGAAAGATCTTCAAAAAGTTAAACACAGAATTACCACATGACCCAGAAATTCCACTCCTAAGTTTATAAGGCAAAGAACTGAAAGCAGGGAGGGACTGAAACAGATATTTGTATACGCATGTTCACAGCAGCATCATTCACGACAGCCAAAAGGCGGGGGCCACCCAGGTGTTAACAGATGACGGAGAAGCAACACGTGGTCCATCCACACAATGGAATATTACTCAGCCTTAAAAAGGAGTGAAATGCTGACACAGGATGGAACCTGAGGACATCAGGCTCAGCGAAATAAGCCAGTCACAGAGGGACAGATACTGTGTGATTCCATTGATATGAGGTCCCTGGAGTCATCAAACTCAGAGACAGAGAGTAGAATGGTGGCTGCCAGGGGCTGGGGGAGGGGGAGGGGAGTTAGGGTTTAATGGGAACAGAGTTTCAGTTTGCGGAGAAGAAAGAGTTCTGTGGACGGATGGTGGTGATGGTCGTCCAACACTGTGAATATACTTAATGCCACTGAACTGTATGCCTGAAAATTATTAAAATGGTAAATTTTATGTTATGTATATTTTATCTCAATAATACAATCACCAAAAAAGAATCTTCCATCTGTAGTGAAGGATTTCCCCCAAATCTTTCAAATATTCCAATAAAAATCTGACTTCAAAATGTGTGTAATGCAACAAGTAGCTGTAGTGTGTGGATCATTTGGTATAAAGTGGAGCACTGACCCAGCTGCAAGACTCAGGCGAGGTCTGCAGGTGAGACGGTACTCACTCACTCAGCAGTGCAACCTCCTGACCTTGATGGCTGTACTGCATTCACGTTCGGCAATGTCTCTGTTTATAGGAAATACTCACAGAAGTCAGGGGGACGGGGCCTACTCTCAATGGTTCAGAGAAAAGAATTATGCTGGTCATGCATTTGAAACTTTTCTGTAAGTTTCTATGGTTTCAAAAATTTTAAATATAAAGTGAAAGTACTGAAAAAAGTTTCTGTAACTTTGATGTTATCACATTGATCTGTTAAGAGCAATTAGCAACAGTAAAATCCTAGTAAACTGAGTATAAACCATGATACAAAATTTAAAGTTAAAAAAGTAAAAACCTTAAAAACATATTTAAAAATTAAGAGAAAAGAAATTTTTAAAAAACTGAGTTTAGATGGTGACAAACATTTGACTCTCACTATAACTGGGACCGAGTCCCTGCTTCATGCTTTACAAGAGCAAAGAGGGAAAAAGACAAAATGCAGGCAGAACAGCGAGCACACGTCTGACAAACGTCCATCAGTCATACTCACACGATGGTTTTTCCGATGTGCAGAAACGACTTCTCTACGAATTCCCGGACGCTGTGGACCTCCCCCGTGGCTATGACAAAGTCCTCGGGTTCATCATTCTGCAGCATCAGCCACATGGCCTAGAAAGAGAGGCAGAGCCACGTGAAAGCTGGACCCAGCGGCCCCTCGGGAACTATCATGTCACCAACGCACATCACCGGACAGAGACAGTGCTAACAGGTAAACCAAGGCACGCAAAAACTCTCAGGAGTTTATCTGAGCACACGTTGATTCCAAAGGTGTTCAGGAGGCTCCCCACGCAGAGACAGGGGGGCAAGGCTTTTACAGAGTAGAAGTGAAGCGAAACAGAGCAAAGCAATTATTTGATTATCTGGGAAGCCGGGTGAGCTACTGGTGAAGTTTCACTTCCTCGGATTCTGGTGCGGTGACCCTGGCTACCAAGGGCTAACGGCCTCCTTGTTTAGATGCTTTAACCTGTGTAGCCAGACGGTGACGACGAATCTAGTCCACTATCCTAACCACGGCAGTCGTGGTTCTCAAACTCTAACGTGAGACAGAATCATCTGGGGACCTCTGGGTACAGCCCAGGTGCACAGGCCGGGCAGCTGTTGCAGCACCTCTGTCTGCAGCAGGACCTTGGACTACCGTTCACAGGTATGAGATGCTGAAGAGCGTCTGCACCGAATAACCTTTCCATAGGATATTTAAGAATCATGGAAGGAAGGCAAGAAAACATCATTTAAGGACAGGTGTTTATCCTCCAAAGTAGGACCAAATTTCTTAACAGTAAAGTTGGAAATTTACCACTGTGGTGACACGGTAAAGCAAAATATTCAACAATCCTTAATGGAAAAACAATCATATAACGAACAGCACTTTTAACAAGTTATCGGCAGTGAAGACGTCTGCGCAGAGTTAAGGTTTCAGCAGCTGTGTTTGAAGGGCAGGGGCTCGCAGACAGGCTTTTTCAAGGAGAGCCAGAAGTCTAGCTGCAGGTGAAAGACCCAAAACAGGGCCCCCAAACTCAGCTTAGATGGCTCTCACCGTAGCAGCCAGGCCTAGAGTTCCTATAGCTTGGAGCCACACACTGATTTTAAAGATTCTGTTTACACAGACAGAAGATGAAGATTTTACAAAATTAAGTATAGCTGGTATCCGACAGCAGTCTCTTTAGGAAAAAAATCTAAGACCAAAAAAACAAAAAACAACTCAATGTAATAACCTATAATGAAAAGGAATCTGAAAAAGAATATACATATGTATATACACATATATATGTATAACTGAATCACTTTGCTGTACATCTAAAACACATTATAAATCAACTATACTTCAATAAAAAATTTTTTAAAAATCAATTTTTTTCATCACTCACACCCACTTTTCCAAATAAAATAGGTGAAAGCAATAGTCACCTCATTAGAACACAGAGTCCCCAATATTATGTACATTGAACTCTTGTTGTAACATCTATAGAAAACTCTTGGTTGGTGTCTCCCTAGCTGCTGTTGGATAAGCTGAAAAATAGGTTTCTGAGATCAATGGAGCAGCTTATTTTCTTTTAGAAAACACAATCAGCAAAGTTTTTGCTGATTTAGTTTAAGTAAAGTTTAATTCTTCTTTATTCATTTCAATTTATGGCAGCCTTCTAAAAACTAGAAACGCGCACGTTTCTCCTGTACTCGAAGTTTTTTCTTGTGAATATTTCGGTCTATTTCCAGATTGTTTTAAATTGTATTTTTGTCCTACAGAAGACAAGGCTTTCGGCAATTTCACACGCCTTGGAGAGGCGGCCCCCGGGTGGGACGCTGGAAGCAGACGCAGGTCAGGGACATGCTGAGAAGCATCAGACGGAATCGTCCTGGCAGGAGAGGGGTTTGTTCACATTCATGAAAGATCTGCAGTTTTGTTTTGCATTAAGAGATTATAGTTGATGAATTTATGTATAACACTTTAAAAATTTTCCATGAATTATATTAATAATAAAGCTTGATCAGTTCTAAAAAGGCGCAGAATGCAAGCTGTCCTCTTCATCGGGATGGTGTGTGCGGCCCCGAGGGTCAGACCCTGGGCCAGCGCCCTTGGCTGTTCAGCTCCTTGAAGGTGCCCTGGTCGTGGGCACCAGCAGAGGCGAGAGGCCCCTCTTGGTGTCCGCGTCTTGCAGGTGTCCACCCAGCCTGGAACACCCTCCTCCTCCAGCCTGGGCCCTGGCACGGCCTGTGTCTCTCCAGGTTCCCTGGGACGATGGCATAGCACACTGGCTATACTGGCCCGAGCTGCCCTTTGGGCACCTCCCCAACTAAGCTGACCCTCTCACGTGCTGTGTGCACACACACGCGTGCGCACACACACACACACACACACAGACACACACACACAGACACACACACACACAGACACACGTTTTGGCTTTCTTCAAAATGCTTCCAAAGTTTTTAGGAAAAATTAAATTATGCTTCTGGCTAGAATTTCTATCTGAACGTTTTTCTGAGGGATTAGTGTATGTACTTAAGGGTGTTTTACTTGACTTTCCATTCTAAAAATAACATTTCAAGTAGGTCTTTCAGGACTGCTCAGCTTATTTTATTTCTTTTAAACACTATGTTGGGCTGGAATGGTTTTGAAAAAATCATATTTTTAATCATGTGAAAGAAAGCAAGGGCTGCTAAAAATAAAAGGAGAAAATATGATGACTGGTTGAGGGTGGATTACTTGAGACACCGGCACCAGCTCCCTGGTGCTCGTTCCATCCCCACCGGGAATCTGGGCACACAGGAGGCCCTCACTTTCACCACAGCTGAGTGCCAAGAATCTGCCCTTTTCTTTTCCAGCCGACCATCCGCGGCCTTTGACCTACCAATTTCTAGGCATTTCCTTTAAAGTTCATCCTGTCCCAGACTCCAGCCTGGGAATGGGCGGGAAAGGATGTACAGCTCCAGATTTATTTGTTATTACTGAATAGTTTACTGGTTTTAAAACGCAGAGGGAAAGGCTTTGTTTGAATTTCCACTGAGCATAATGAATCGTCTCTGACTGGTAAATGAAGGCCGGTGACACTCCAGATCAGATGAACAAGTCTGTGCTCTGCGGTGATCGTGGGTTAGTAATTTGCCACTGAGCCGGGGCCGCACGGCCCATCGCGATGCCCAGTCGTGTCCAGCACAAAGGCCCCTGTGTGGGAAGCGCCCAGGCCTGCATGTCCTCATGCAGCTGCACACGCTGATCTGGTCCATTTCTTCCCTGATGGATGGCACGGCTGAGGCGAAGGTTCACCTCTCCTCACCTTCCTGTTCACATGCGGGCCATGTGACCCACGACTCGGCCGGCCACCCCGTGCTCAAGTCCCTACCCAGCTCCGGCTTCCGGTGCAGAAACGCTCCTGAGGTGACAGGTTTCAGGCGTCTGCACTCTGGGCCCGTCCCTCCCGGAATGAGGGGCCCCATAAGGATACGACTGACTTCCCCACCTCCTCACACACTTATTTACCTCTGCCCTGCCCTGATCACCAGTGCAAACGAAAACATCGCCTGCTTTTTATTTTTTAATCCATCCCACAGGGAGGAATGTACCAAGGCTTGGGATTCTTCAGCATCAAAATGTCTCTTGATGGCAAATGAACAGCGCAGTTCTCCAACCATGTCCCATATTCATCTTGCTTTTAAGGCGTATAAAGTCCAGGGGGAACCCGACTCCATGTCACTGACGCTTGAAGGCCAAGTCTAGGTGGTTATAAGTATCCGCTCCGTTTGGATATGTGCTCTCTTGTAACTATACAGTGAATCTATCTGTTTTACAAACCTAATTTAGAGAAGTCAAAATAAAACTTTCATTTAAAAATTCCCCCCCCCCCCCCCCCCCGCCAAAAAAAAAAAATACTCCTCTCCCACACCTGCTCTTCGGCCGTACAGGTCACGAACGTGGAAGTCACAGTGGAGGGGCCTCCTCTTTCCTGGATCCAGGAGCTTGCAGTGGCTCCCAGCTGGACCAGTGGTGGAGAACAGCCAAAGGGCATCACCACAGCCGACCAGCTAGCCTTGATTCCACGCGTGCCTTTCGGGCTGTGATGTGTGTTTGTCTTGAAAACCTGGATTCGACAATTGCTTCCACCTTGCCATTAACCTCCGGCTCAGTATCCAAGCCACGGACACTTATTAACTGAGCTGTCATCCATGAATAACGAGATTTGTTAATCAAGGTTATGTTTAACTATGTTCATTTGACTGCTGCCTTTTCAGTCCTGTGCTTTTGTGCTTTACGGGCTACTGTCATAAAAATAATCTAAACATATACACGTACATAAATATATATACATATATATAAATATATGTATAAAAATAGGGGAGAAATTCTATGAAATTATTCTAATAAAAATCAGAGGCATTTGAATAAATGGAGATTAAAATTCCCCATAAAGGATTCTAAGTGTGGAACCGTTCACATACATTTCCTTTCAGCTCTGTTCAGTAGCTATTTTCATCATGATAGCCTGGTGTTTTCAGTTTGAATCAGGACTTCAAGGAGTCCTGGGCTAGGCTGGGTCTTATGCTTTGTGGGATGCACACAGTTCGGGCGGGTTCGCCCAGGGGGAGTACCCCTTACTCTGACATAGTTGGGAAACAGGCACTAAATGACTAACAAACACCACTGTATCGAGAAAATCATCTAGCATAAAATCCAAACCTCAGTCTATTAATTCCTTCACGGGTAAAAATACTGTTGTTTGTGGATTCCTTTGATTAAGGGTCTTTTAGACATTTTAAAAGTACGAAGTTACTGGACAGGAAAAAAATCATTAGATGATACATTTTTAAAAACACCAAAAATAATAAAACAAATTTAGAAGGCTATCTAGCTCTTGCTATTAACATATCATTCAACATTGATACCAATGCACTGAAAGAGGCCAGACCAACACTTGCACTGCCCCGCCCTTTTGTTCCAGCCAGGTCCACCAAGCTACAAAGTCCGAGGCTGGGGGTAACAACATACAGCCTGAAAGCTCTAGTCCTCTGGGAATCACTCTGACCCAGTTTTCTGGAGCACCATCTGCTCTCTCTGTATGCAGAGTCAGGTAACGTAGTTATTTATTGATCTCTGAGTACATTTTATCTCTTCCATG